AACGCAGTGCTCCACTCAATTTAGTTAACTTTGTTGTTGCACAGCAACAGAACATCTCCACACAGGAAACGAAGAGGATATTTTAGACTTAGGATGTCGCTGCCCAGTATTCAGCAAGAGCCATGTTTGCTTCAAACATCTGAATTCTGAACCAATATAATCTTATTTAGGGGTTTTTCTACTTCCTGTATCGCACCACAAATTTCATTGGGCTACATTTTCTCTCAGACTTGACTAAGAGATTTAAAACCAAGCCAAGGAAGCTAAAATTTGTGGTAGATAACGGTAGAAAACCTGTGACTGGACCGCCGAGTTTGCTGCAGCAAAGGCTATAAATGAGCTCAAGTGCATGGCCGGGACTCTTGGAGAGATTTCTGACATGTTGGATTCTCCAAAGGCCACATAACGCAGCGCTGCTCTTTTGTGGTCTCTGCTTTGGAAGAGTGTACAAGCGGTAAATTTAATACACTGCTGGCCCAGCTGCTTTTGATCTTGACAAGTCTGAGGAAAGGGCTTTGCTGTGGCAAGCAAGCAGACGAGACAAACCCGAGCCAGCAGAATAGGAGGGGCATTCTCAGTTGTACTTCACAAACACACAAAAACAAGAAAGCCGGAAGGAAGGCTTTGCATGGAAAGAGGAGGGAGGAGAAGCCGTGAAGAGAAGGGCGCTCTAGCTAGGATGCGTCAGTTGTTCAGAAGTCCAGCCCGGCACGCCCCGGACAGGGCCGAGGCTCGCCGCTGACCCGGGGCAGGCCCGCCCCTGCGGAGCAGTGTCGCGCGCGTCGGTCAATCTGGCCAATCACGTGCCTCTGTCGCCGCCCGCGTGGCCCCGCCCCGCCCTCGCCCTTGCGCGAAGTCTCGTGGCCGCGCGCGCGCGCAGTCCGATCATTCTCGGGCGCTGGGAGTTTTACCGGCCAATCGCACGTCTCTTCCGCCTCCCTTGCGGCCCCGCCCCTGGAGCGGGCGCGCTCACAGCCGCGGCTGCGCGGGGATTTTGCGCTCCAGGGATAACGGAGGGAGGTAGTGTACCGGTTGGCGAGCAGTTGCCCGAGAGCTGGATTGCTTCGGGGTCGGCTGCGCAGTCGAGTAGGGTTCCCTTTCCGCGGTTAGGGGACTTCTCAACCGCACCTCAGGCTTGGGGTCTCTCAAGGGCTGGTGTGGGTTTTATGCAGTGATGGGAGGGAAGGGAAGACTCCTCCCTCTGTTTTTTTCCCCCCGTAAAGTTGATGCCTTTGTTTGAGGAAACAAACTTAAAGTGTGCTCTCCTTTTCAGGATCTATTCGCTGCTTACACTAAAATGATGCAGGCAGCCGTAAATTTATCTGCTCTTGTGTTTCTTATCCATGAGCCTCGGAGGGTCATTGTTTCCAGTCACAGCTTTTAGAATTTAGGGTAGTATGACAGGTCAGATCATGTTCTGAGTCAAGATCTTATATTTCATTATGAGGCTGGCGTAGCGAAATGATAGAATTCCTGACTATCCAAAGTCGTTCTTTTCCCCAACCTCCATAAGGCAGATTTTGAGGATATTTTGTTAAAAACAGTTTTGTTTACATGAGACGCTAGCTCATCTGAAATGAAAAACATAGTCACTATGTGGACCACAACTTTAGGAGGGTAAATGGAAAACGACATCAAAAAGCAAGAATGAAACACAACTAAGTGAAAGGAAGTTGCTGGCGTACTTGCTTATGTTACCTACAAGAAAAAATTCTTTGGTAAAAATTGAGGAACATATAGAGGTGTGGGTTAATTTGATTTCCATTTTGTGATTATTTTTGGTTTTTAGAGGTCAACCAAGATTTCATTTTCAAGATGGAAAGCTCTTCAGACTCCACAGTGATTTTACCTAGCACTCCACGGGCCTGTGCCAACCCACCATCTCCCCGTACAAGTAGTTCAAGAAAACAAGTATGAAAATCTTTGTCCTTTCAGTGGATTGATTCTATATTTCTAATTATTGATTGTGGCAGTGGTGGTTTTAAATCTACCGAAGATAGTTAATTAACGTGTAGCAATAATAAGTAGGTATTAAATAATTTTAGGTATTCTAAGATAATGTATTTGACCTTTCCCCCTCTCCAAATTTTCATCATCTTGAATCACTTATTTCATTTAGTTTCAGATTGTTATTGGATTACAAATTGAAGTAGTTTGAGTCCGCATTGTTAGGAAGGTCTTTATGACAGGATCAAGGCCTTTGCCTTAATTTGTAACTGAAGCACTCAGAGCAGGTCTGGCATGTTCTTGTTGCTGAACAAATGTTTATGATTACTGGGATAAGTGTCTCAACACTGTTTTAGAAGAGTGCTGACTTTGCTAAAATAAAAAGAATAAAAGTAATGGAGCTTCTAGGAATTAAAGACAGTTTGTGATGGTTAGTTACTTTAGATACATGGGGACAGAAAGCCATCTAGTGGTATGTACTGTAGAAATGTGAGGCCTTTATTTGCAGTAGATTATATCAGGAATGTTTTTCTTGGTTAATATTATTGTTTGTGCCTTTTACAGCCTATGAGTGCAACACTTAGAGAACGGTTAAGGAAAACTAGATCTTCATTTAATTCCTATTACAGTGTGGTAAAACGTCTTAAAATAGACAGTGACGAAAATGATCAGACCTTTTCAGAGAAACCAGCATCTTCAACAAAAGAAAACTGTTTGGAATTTCAAGAAAATTTTAAACACATAGACAGTGAATTTGAAGAAAGTACGTGTCTGAAAAATACCTTCAAGAATATCGGTACAAATGAATCTAAATCACTTGATGCTGAGTCTTGCAGTGGTCTCAGTAATGACTGTATGAATGAGAGTCTTCCCAAACAAGGATTAAATGAAGAAAAAGCAAAATTGGTGAAGCAGATTCAAGAGAAAGAAGACCTTCTTCGGAGGCTAAAACTAGTCAAAATGTATAGATCAAAGGTGAGAATAATTTCAGAATCATTGCATACTTATTAAAAATTTTTTTAAATTTTTTATTTTTAGATAAATGCTAGGAATGTCATTTCATAAAGAGAAAATTAGCACAATTAGCAATAAGCCAAGTATCCAGAAACCTGGCTTCCAAAAACTTTTAACTCAAATATAAGTCAGATTTAGAGTAGAAGAGGCCTCAACACCAGATACAACTTTTTAGAAGTCTCAGCTCTCAATTAATATGCAGTTGAAATTTTTCCAGCCTGTAGCAATATTAGAAGTATCAAATGTTAGATGTAAGTATAATGAGAACAGAAATGACAGCTGACAGTGAATGATTTTAAAAAGCTAAAAATAGGCTTAGAGAATACATAAAAAATATTTCTAGTAAGCATCTGTGTTCTTCTAAATTATTAAAAGTTTTCAAGGATTTAGTTTGAGAAAGCGACAATTAAATATCAAATATATTAGATTTTAGATTTCAACCCAGTTAGGTTGACCTAAATAGAACTTGGGCACTTGGAAGAAGATAACTCTTTCTTACCTGGATTGTTCATGTATATGTAGTTGCCCCTTCTACCCAGCAATATGGAATAAATGATGGAATAGTGTATTTTATTTGCTCTCTTGAATTTTTAGGATTTTTCTAAATATAACTGCTTTAGCTTGAAATAGGGAATGTTGAAAATATTTTTAATTTGAATATTCTCATTTTTTTAAAGTACAACTGTAATAGAAAAAGTGAATTTCTTTTTACCTGTATCGTTGCGTCTCTCCATGGTTTTGTCTGATTTAATGACTGATTTTTGCTTAGACCAAACAAAATAGCCATAGAACTCGATTTGAGTGTCATTGTATCCATTTTATTTAAAACCACCCTATTTTTTTCTCCTGGGTAGAAGTCCCATTCATGACCAAGTGTGTTACCCTTTAAACCTACTCATTGACTGATTTAACAGCTTTCATTAAGTTAAAATAAGATGCCTATCTAGTTACTGACATACATTTGTTTTTTTTTTCCTGTTTCAGAATGATCTGTCTCAGTTACAGTTGTTAATAAAGAAGTGGAGAAGCTGTAGCCAACTGTTGCTTTGTGAATTGCAGTCAGCTATGTCTGAGAACAAGAAACTCAGCCTTACTCAGTTGATAGACCACTATGGGTTAGATGATAAGTTGCTACTCTATAACAGAAATGAAGAAGAATTTATAGGTGTTTAATCAATATGTTTTTCTCTAGAATATCTTTGAGAATGACAACTGAAAAGATACTTATACATTTGAAAGGGAAAATATAAACCATTAGGGCTTATAAAAAGATATCTTGATGAACATTGATTTAGGGCACTCTGTTATGTAAATATAAACTAAGTTCTAAAATGAAGATTTACTATTAAAAAAATATCATGTTTTAAAAACTAGGCAGTTTTGGAAATCACTTGTAATACACTGTTTTGTTTATCGTGGTAAAAAAAAAAAAAAAGTTTTAATGTTAAAAAAACAGTCCAATATGGTAAATGTCTAAACCTAAACTGTTCAAAAAATGCTTGCCTCTGTCCTAAGTTTATGAACCTTGTTTCCATCCATTTACCACATATTTCCATCTAGATGGTCAAGCAGGTAATTAAACTTACATGTCCAAAATTATATTCTTCCTGTCTCTTCAAATTTATTTCTTGTATTCCTTATCTCATTTAGTGAAATGACCATCTCTTATACACAACCACATCTCCTCCTCTCCCATTTCAAGGCATCAGGGCCTACAAGGTCTTTCATTTACTTTTCTAGCTTTATCTATAAAATAGATTAAACTTAGAGTGTCTACTTAGTTCACAGTTACTCCTCAGGCAGAAACCCACCTTCATAGGGTTTTTCTGGCTGCCATGTTGTGTACAAGGTTACTTGTCATCCTGGCCATATACAGAAATATGATCCAAGCTGGCCCAATCTCTGAGAATTTGGAATTGTGCTTGGGAAACAAAAGCTCATCTCTTTACACTATTCTATGTAAATTTGGGAGCAGAAAAACTGTATTTCTAGTCCTTCCTGAGGGCTTTCTGGATTTCTGCTTTTGAGTCCTTTTAAGGGCTAAAACAGCTTTACTTAGTTTAAAAACAAAAACAAAACTTAAGTACTTTCCTACTAGTAGGCCCCCCTCCTCCAAATGCATCTTACTTTTAGACCAGTCTCTCCCTATGATCTAACAAACTGTTAATATGCATCATAGCAGGAGACCCATTCTAATTGTTAGTGCCCATATTAGTAAACTCTCTTACGTGGCTCCTATCTGCCCCCAACCCCAAATTCCTGCCTTCTAGATTCTGTCATTGTCATTGGCTTCTATGAACCCAAGAAGAATGGTCCAGACCTCAAATGAGCCTCCCCTGGCCCTGGGATTCCTAGATGGGGCACCCTTGGGGAGCTGTGCTGTTTTGTGCCTGCCATCCTTCATCACTGCTTGCTGCTCAGCCAGAGGGCCTAAATGTAGCATGGGTGCTGGCATTTCGCTGCAGCTGCCCACTGCTTACTAGCACATCCCCTGGAGTCACCCTTACATGGTCACTTGGAGGAACTACAGCATCAGTGGCAGTGTGGTTCTGGGAGAGTTGGGGAGAGCAGATGGGGGCATAGTAACGGGCATTTCAAAGGCATTGGCTGGGTGCTGAGAGCTCCAGCAGCACAGTGGGCACGCCAGCAACAGGAGGTGGGTCATGGAATATAGATCAGAATTATGGGAGAGTTTGGGGCCTAGGGATGCCCATAAGGTGCCCGCCCCCTTTTAAAATAATTTCTGTTGAATTTCAACTCCATTTAATGAGATACATTTACAGGCATTCCTCAGAGATATTGTGGATTTCAGTTCTAGACCACTGTAGTGAAGTGAGTCATGAAGTTTTTGGTTTCCCAGTATAATTTGGTTAACTTTGGCACAAGAGAGAGACCTAGTTTTTGGCCTGTTTCAGCTTTCAACATGCCTCCCTCACTATGCTTTTCTACCTTTTGATTTAAAATGAGAGATGTGTAATTTCATTTGAACACTTGAAGGCCATTGTAGGATAATTAATTGGCCTAATTAAAATGTGTCTCAGGGAACAGGGAAGCCCAAGAAAGGAATAGCTAGTCGGTGGAGCAGTCGGAATGCCCACATTTATCCATTAAGTTCACTGACTTTATAAGGGCACTTCAAAACAATTACAACAGTAACACCAAAGATTGCGGATCACCATAACACAATAATAATAGTGAAAAAGTTTGCAATACTGTGAGAAGTACCAAAATGTGACACGGACAGGAAGTGAGCATATGCTGTTGGGAAACATCATAGCAATAGACTTGCTCAAAGCAGGGTGGCCACAAACCTTCAATTTTGTAAAAAATGCAGTATCTGTGAAGTATAATAAAGCAAAGTACAATAAAAAGAAGGAATGCTTATATTAAAAAACAGTGAATAACATTCATAAAAAATATTTCCTTTGTGTCAGTTTAAAAAAGTATGTTAACTCATTTGAGTATTAAATTACCAACATCTCAGTTTTCAAGTTGAGGAAATTGAAGATTAAGTAGTTATTTAAAAAAGTAATTATTTAAAACTGAAGTGGCAGAGCCAGGATTCGATACCAGGCAACCCACCAGCAGAGCCCTGCTCTTAAGTCCTATGCTTAAAGCCATCCGATGTTTAACCTAATTACATTTCTTAATAATATAGATAATATTTTAAAGGGCTATAAAAATATGAATGTATCTGCTGTTCAGCAGAAGCTATGAGGAATCAGTACCATGGACAGTATCAAGACTAGGCTGGGGTGCATGACCCATGTGCCCTTCGAAAGCCACCCCCCACCCCACCGAACCAGAAGGTTCCTCCTGTTGAAAAGTGCTGCTACTAGAATACAGCCTGGGGGGAAGAGGTTCCTGCTAACCTCCACTCTATCCATGCCTCAAAGCTGCAGCATTCAAGCAAGGAGAACTGCCAGAGACAACCAAGGTGGCCACTAAGAAACAGAAATCAAACATGCTAGTGGTTAAGACCTGGGAATCCACAGAGCATTATCTAGTATAATTTATGGCATTGACTGTTAACAAATGGAGACTCCAGGCACCTAATTTAGGTGACATGGAATTTATATCACCAGAAAAAAGAAAAAAAAAAAAGCCTAGTATATCCATGGTTGACTCACACCAACAGGACAGAGAACATCTGACAATCCCATCTTAAGTACAGAGTATTTGTACTCTTCACATCCTCCCCGCCCCACCCTGCAACAATCCCTCTGTCAGAGATAATTTTGAAGGACCCTAGATGTAGGAAATATTACCAATGGGCACTTCCCTGCTGAATCAGATGAACTGACTACTTCAGGAGTTATTCTAGTTCTAAGGAGGGGGATCACCAAAAATGTTGGTCCCATAATTTCTCTTACCTTTCCTATATGGCATTGATAAGCTGTGCTACTATCCTGGTAATTTCTAAATAGAAGATTTGAAATCTAAAGATTTTTTTCTAAATAGGTTTTATAATAATTCTCTTGCTTTACCTACACCACTATACACTGGACATGGTGTTGCAGATTAAACTTAACAATTCACAAATTGCAGAACAATGAGACATTGAATCACTTAGAGATTGTGGTCATTGATCCCAATTGTTTTGGAACGCAGCAGGCCACAGGCTATGGAAGGGCAAAGCAGTTTTCTGACCAGTTAATCTCATTATTTAATTATTATCATACACATGAATACAGCAATAAACTTTCCATGGAAATCAGAAAATACTTTTTTTCTGTTTGCTAAACCTCGTTGGGTAGGCACAAAATTGAGTTCTGTTACAATGAATGTGAAATGTAGAAGATTATATTTATGCAAAAGAAAATATGTTGTAACTTACAAATGATTTAAGACTTGGTAAAAGCAAACAGTTCAGCTTGTTCTCATTACTAGAGAAACTTAAACATTCTGGTCAATTTTTTTTCTGAGAATAGAAGAAATGCTTATTAAAGAAAACTTGTGAAATATAGAAAAGTGTAAAAATCATCCATAGTCTCATAATTTTTCTGATAATTTTATGAAATCAGAAATGCCAGTAATGGCTAAGAATAATTTCTTTTTGATCAAATTAAGACTAAATAAACAAAATATATCTTGAACACATTCTGAGTTAAAATTTTGTTCATTCTTGAAAACAATTCATGATATTTTATACATTTATTCATGGAGGACAAACATTTATAGTGATTAAGGCTAAAATCAAATAACTTTCTATTAAAGATATGCAACTGAGAAGAGACTCTACTTAAATTTCCTGATATGAAACAAAAAAGACATTTTAATCAAATGAAATTTTTCAAATGATTGATTTGGCCTTGTGTTTTTACATTGGAACAAGAGCAGGAAATGTTTTCATCCTTAATCTTTCAACTTCAGCCTGCAGTATTGAAATCTGTTCAGCTTGTTTTTTTGAAATATTTATTAACTTTTGTTGTTGCATCATGTTTTCATATCGTTCTTTGGCAATCTTTTCACAAGTCAGTGTAGACCCTATCCCAAAAATGAAAGAGAAAGGAATTAGTTGGATTATTATTTATACTTTCAAATATAAAAATAGCACTCAGAATCAATTAAGCGTGTGGAAGAAATGCTGGTAGTTTATAACAACTATAGATTTCAGGAATATTGATTACTTTTAAAGAAACTTACAGTTGAGTAAAGAAAAAAATGCTTACCCAATGCATTACAGATATCTTTTCTCTCAGAGACAGCAACCAATTCTTCTCGTAAATTGCAGCTTAGGGTATAATTTGCTATATCTTTTTGATTGCTGAACCTTCCCAGTTTTTTTAGTAGTTTTTTGCAGTTTTCCACATTTTTTTTGTGGGTCTGAAATGTTCGTTTCCATGATACCCCATGAAAGTAATTTTGAAAAAATATATATTATAAGGATGTTCTTAAATTTAAAATGTATTATCATCATTAAGATATCATCTTATTGCCATGTCTTTAGTGCTTAACATAATGCTCGCACATGGTAGGTACTAAATTATTTGTTGAAAGATAGAATGATATGTTAATACCAAATTTTAGAAAAAATCTTGTATATTCTTAAAAATGATAAAAGATAAACACATAGCTCTGTGATTACTTTGTTTTCATTTTATATATGCTACACAATCAAAACTGAGCGTTTATTAAGCAGTTATGAAAAAACAAAGCCTTTACAATGACAAAGCAAGACTATCAACCCTTCTATTACACAAATTGTAACAGGAAATTTATGTACACTCAGATATCTCCCAAGGGGTTAATTCTTATATTAAAAGAAATGCTTCAGTCTACCAGACTTGTTTTGGTTGTAAAGACATCATTCAGGGATCTCTAATTACATTCTGAATATCAGTAAAAGACCAAGATTTTTTTAGGTTCTGTTTGAATTCATGATTTGGAACACTATTACTTTGTTCAAATGAATCACAACTGTTGGGATTATAATGATAAATATCTTTGAAACCTACCTTATCTAAAACAGCAATGGTTTGCTCCATAATTCCAATCTGAATGGCAATCATAGTCTCATAGTTTGGTTCAGTTAGATACTTTGAGAGAAGAAAAAACACCATATATGTAAAGATATTTTTCTCTATTTCTTTCAATAGGTAACTTTATAAAGATTATCTTAGTTTTGAAAGTTACGGTTTTCATAAAAATTATCCAAGTTAAGATTGATTTGACTTTTTGTGCCATAATATTTACTTGTGTTTAGCCACTGATATTCTCACCTATATGCTAATAATTACAAACGCCTAGAGTTTATTTTCTCATTAATTCATTAATTCACTTATTCAATTCACCAAATATTTATTGTCTCATTTGAGTCTCTATTCACAGTGAGCCAGTGAAAGACACTGAGGAAAATACAAAGATAGATAACATGACCTACCCTCAAGAAAAAGAGAACGTGTAGAATTGATTAGTTGCCAGAAAATATGTAAAGTGACATGCAGATTCAAAGGTGGTTTGAGATGGGATGTGGATTCTCTGGACTGGGGAAATCAAAAGGCTTTATGGAGGAGTTGGCATTTAAACTAGACCTTGAAAAATAGATAGATTTAAGATGTAAAAAAAAAATGAGGAAAGATATTCCAGGTAGAAGAAGTAGGCACAGACATAGAATGCTAGAAAACAGTAATCAGTTTGGTTTAAGAATATGGATATATAAGAGGAACAGTGGGGATGAATTTGAAAATTTTGGTTGAAAGACACTGAGTACGCACCTAAGGATTTCATAATTCATTTGCTGGATAAGAAGTGGCAGTTTATAATGTTTGAGCAGAGTAGTAATGTTATTAGAGATGAATAGGAATATTAACCTGATAGTGGTATATAGTATAGATTAGATAAGAGAAGACCCAAGGTCAAGAGACCAGTTAGGAGATTATTATAAAATAGTCTAAAACACTGAAAAGGAAGTCCCAAGCCAGGGTAAAGGCAGTGGAGATAGAGAATGAGGGAATAAATAGATAAACTAGGCAAGACTTGGAAGGCGAGGCAAAGAGGGTTCTTAAATATGACTACAACTTTAAGCTTGAGTGAATGGCTGAAAAGAACAGAAATAGGCAATTAAGAAAAGTTGATATGGGGAGGCGGGAAATATAGAAATAGAGCTTGAGGGAGGTCAGGGCCTGAGAGCCTGGATTGGAATTGGAATTAAATTGGAATCCAGAGAGCTTGGATTAGTCTATTAGAAGTGATCATTGAAGTTAGAAAAATAGAGATCATCAAAGGAGAAGTTATGGAAAGAAACACAAACAGAGCCAATGGCAGAATCTTAAAGAATATTTAAGAGTTAGAAGCAAATGAGAAATCAGTAAAAGAAGCAGAGTAGTCTGACATGTTAGAAGAAAATCAGGAGAAAACAAAGATAATTAAAGCTGAAGGAATGAATAATTAAGATCGTCTAATGCTATGGAGAGTCAAGGGGTGGTGATGACTGGGAAAGGGACCACTGGATTTGACAATCAGGAAATTTTGGTGAACTGCAAGATAGAGCTATACAACTGCAAGAGTCATAAAGAACCGAAGGCAGCAAATGCAAATTACTGAGAGAAAAAGACAAAATTCACAGACACACTATGAAATATTACTGGTTTAGAATATACTTGATATCACAAAGGCTTCTTATTAAATATTGGTTGAATGAATAAATGCATTAATGAATGAAATTAAAATTATATAGTGGGGTAGAGAGAACTTACTTTTTGACGTTCTCTTGAAAAAAACAGCATCTGAATATCCCAAGCCTTCTGATTTAGATCTTCCATTTCCATTTCCATTTTCTTATGATCCCACTCAATCTGAAATATTCCTTTGTGGACATCTTTACTTTCCATCATGCTAGCAATTTTCTTTTGTCCTTGAGTCTTAAAAAGAAAGGCACATTCTGATATTCATATAATATGATTCTGTATAGAGAATAGAACATTTGAAGCTGGATGCTATTATTAGAAAATACTTGGATCACAGAGACAATTTTATCTTCTTTTATAAAATGTAGCAAATATTTAAAAAATTACTTGGCAAAAATCTGATCACTATAAAGCATGATAGTTACTAAACAGAAGGAATATAAGATGCATTTGAATGACATAGCCAATTTACTTTATATGTCAATGGTTAGGCAGTAACTCCTTTTGCCATCATCAATCTGTCAATCTGTATGCATTTGTACCCCTATTCTCTGCCCTACTTCCTGATGCTATAGATAAACTGCTGAAAACCAAAAATAAAGAGAAAAATCCCAAAGGCAGACACATTACATTAAGGGAAACAAAGATAAAAAAATGTAGTAGGCATCTTGTTAGAAACTCTGTAAGCTAGATGAAAATGAATATCTTTGTCATGGAAATAGGAGAATAATGAAAAATATTTGGTACGGCTAGTGATAAGTTGATTTTTTCTCCTTAGAAAATGATAATTACCCGAATCACAGAATTCAAGTCTTCAATTATGTTCTTGTTGATGAGAATTGCATCGGAATACTCCAACAGTAATTGGAAATTCTCCAGTTCTACTTGTCCTTGTTTAAGGAGAATTTGGATTGTCAAATTCAACTGGAATTTTACTTTCTCCTCCTGTAATCTAAATTAAAAAAGACTTCAAAGTAAGTAGTTGTAATATACTTATATTTCAAATTTCACCTATTATCTGAGAATATAAATCCAAACTTAATTTTCCTTCAGATGAAGGAAAATGTGCTGGAGATTAATGTGGAAAATATTTTCCCAATGATGAACTTTCTAGAGGTTACTATGATACTGCTTCTTATGATATGGAATTGCACTCGGGCTGCTCAAAGAATGGTAGGGACAGAAATACATTCATAAAGTTTTATTTTATGATTAAAAAAGATTAATATAATTGTGATCATAAGTGGAAGAAAATAGAGATGCTACCCGATAACAAATCTATTAAAGTTCTGACTATGTATCGACTTACGATATTCTATTCACAATATTTAATCTGTATGCTACTTATCAAATCTATTTCTGGGTAATTCATATTTCTTCTTATAGCCCACACCTGAAAATGATGTATATTGTTGCATTTGAGAACATCAGAGAAGTATTTATCAATGTGGCAGTAAATATGTCCCAAAATGAAGCAAGGATTTAAAACAGTATCCCAATCACTCAGCAATATACAACAAGCTTCCCTAAAAAAAGAGATTAACTGGTTTGGTGTCTATGTGGAAATTTCTTGGACATCTGCTTAATTTTTTACACAGTTGTTCATGCGACTTGAGCCCAAAAATACTTAGAAGCAGAAACAAATTGTATTTTTATGTGGAAGGAGATTAAAAAACATAGGATTTTGCAAAACTTGCCTATTCATAATAATAGAGTAATGGAACATGTAGGTAAGTTCCATTCTGAAATAAGGCATCATGTAACAAAATGCACTTCTTCAAAGAGAAGTTATAAAGCCCAACAAAATAGATAGATAAGTTTCTGCAGGCATAAACTGGGGAGGAGGCATTCTTTCCCCGTGATAATATACCTAACTTAGCCCTAGCTTAGACTTCTAATATATGAGTGAAAGGTTCAAATTACAGAACAAGTTCATGGAACGCTTTTTCGATGTCCTGTTGCACCTGCTCGTCTTCCTCAACTCTCCTCCGGAGGAAAGCCACCATTTCCATTAAGCCAGCTGCTTTCTGCTTTACCTGAAGAGACCAAACCACAGCATTTCAGAACATATAGAGCTTTAGAAATAAAAGCAAACCAATTTTTAAAACCTTTAGAAAACATACATCTTTTAACTTTGTTACAAAACCTCAATGGTCCCATCTTCCTAAGAGATTAATAAAAATTTAAATCCCTGCCATTATATAATATAAGATACATAAAACTTACATGGTACACATTCCATGAATAATTTGAAAAGTATCTAATTTGCTTCTTGCTAAAAATCAAATATACAAGCAACTATAATTTTTCTTATATCTTATTTAAAAACTTGTTTTTATAATCTTAGCTACGATTATAAAATCACAGATACTTTAGCAAAAATATGCCAGCCTGATGCATGTGGCACTGAATTTAGGGATTTTGGGGAACAGAGGCAGGGGGTGGTCAAGAAGTACCAAGAGGAAGGATCCTCCTCCCAATTAAATACACCCTTAGCTTCTTACCCTTTGCTACATTAAAAAAAAACCAAAAACAATATTCTAGCAAAACTATAAAGTTGGTTCTGGTGAAATATAATTCTAATCTATACAAAAAGAGATGAGGACTACTGAAAATGAGAGCAGAGGGGAGAAGGCAAGTAGTCGCCAACAGCGCCATCGTGGAGAAATACAATGTGAGCTATAATACAAGCCACATATGTAATTTTAACTTTTGTAGTAGCTACATTATAAAAAATAAAATTAAACAGGTAAAACTAATTTTACTAATCATATTTTATTGAATACAATATATCCAAAACATAATCATTTTAACCTGTAATGAATATAAAAATATCAAGACATTTTGCATTATTTTTTTAAACTAGGTCTTCTAAATCTGTTTATTTTCCACTTAAAGCATATCTCAATTAGGACTAGCCATATTTATTTCAACTAAACAATAACTACATGTAGCTAGTGACCACCATTTTGAACAGTGTGGGTCTATATAAGCACAGGCCTATATTTAGCCCTCAATAGCACTAAGATTAATATTTTATTTAATCAATATTATCATTAATATTACTACCTACTAACCTAGCAGGAAAACCTAATAATTGGCTTTTCTGGAAGTATTGCCACCATAAATTATATATTTTATATATTAGTACACTAAATGAAATGAAATGTTATTACATACCTTCTGTTCGTTTTCCACTTTCACTCGTCTGGTCATGCAGAAATGTTCCCAGACCAAGGAGTCCAAGCCTTCTGGCATGTTATTAATATTGTCCAAGTCATCCATGGCTTTCATTAACTGGGCATAGGCCTCTTTATTCAATTTCCCAGATCCTGGTCGCTCTCCAAAAGGCACAATACTGGTCGTATCTGACTGCATTTTCTGTTTGTGAATCCTGGTATTATCAATAAAAGCCCATCGACCTTTCATATTCTCACACATAGGAAAAAATCTATGTTAAGTAATATGACCTTTAGCATACTTATGGCATTGCGTGACACTTTACTTTGGCACTTGAGGACAGGTGGGTGAATTATTCCAAAGAGAAAAGCACCCACTTCGAGCTTCTTCCATACTCTCCATTATCCACAGATGTGACCCTGGCTGGACTATAGATGTCCCTAACTATTGTCAGTATTGGCAAATTTACTTACACTAGAAAATATCTCCCTTCCTGAAGGACAAGTAAAAGCTAAAAGAGTTCATCACTGTTAGACTAGATTTCCAAGAAATGTTAAAGGGTCTTTAAGCAGAAAAGGAAATGCCATAACCAGAAATAAGAAAATATGAGAAAAGAAAAAAATACACCCTTCTATGTATTTTAAGCTTGGCAAGTAGATGCCCAAGAGGAGGGTAGATGTTCCTTTGTTCTGTCCCACACATCTTCTGCTGGAATCCTTTCTGCAGGTGAGCAGCCTGGATGGACTGTGTTCAAATACATACACAACTAGAGAAGCGCCTCTTTTCACCTACCTTAATAGATTAATTTTGTTTCCCTGGGATGTGACTGGGAAGGGAAGAGGGGTACAAAGATTTGTACCAGGCATTCACTATCAAATGCTTTATCACACATCGTGAAGTTGCTATTGCTAACCTCTTTCTCTAGATGAGGAAAGCGAGGCTCTGAGAGAACCTACTGGCCCAAGGGCACAGGTCTGATGATGAAGTCAGAATTTAAAGCGAATTTTGTTTGACAGTATAGCTATGCTTTTTCCATTGCTATCACCCAATATATGGGAGGTCTTGCTTCTTTCTTCCCAAGGCTTATAATAATTCATTACTTTAAAAATAGGAAAATCAAGATATGAAGCATGTTCTAAGTTGAATTCTTCAGGTTGTATGTAACCTGTCAAAGGTGAGAATGAGTTTATATCTCAGACACAAATGAGCCTATACCTTTGTGACTAACTCCATGATTTCTAGATTATGTTTGATTGAAAATTTTAGAAATCTGAATTTGAAAAAACTTTTTTTTTGAATATAATTCTAATGCTACTCTCAGTATAGAAATCAGGTATTTTAGAACTTTTGGAATGGTTATTTTCAATCATTTATACTGGCATTTTTTGAACTTTGTCTTAAACACAAACACATGAGATGCTCTGTGGAAGAGGGACTGTAGTTACATAAGTCTGAAGAACACTGCTTACTCTGCTTCTTGTTTTTGGAGATCCAAAGGCCAAAAACAAGTTCTGAGAAGTTCTTCAGTAAAGAAAACCACTTAACATTTTTAACACAGTGTTTCCACAAACTTACTTTGTCCTGGAAGCCTTTTACATGTAATTCCAATTCAAACCACAAGGGACCTAGACTTGCTGGAGCACATCTTAAGGAAAACTGTTTATAAATCTGTATACCATCTGTCTTAAGAGGAAATACTTTCTTATATAAAAAAGAACCTACAATTGCACTATGCTTACCTGCCTATTTTTAAGTAATAGAAAGAAATCATTATTCTTTATTACCTACCTTAAGATATAAGAATAATTATTTTTAAGAAAACTGAGTTATGATCAAGACACTGAAAATTTCCACATACAAGATGTTAGACTGAATATTGCTTTCTAATTTAGGGGAGAAAGCTGATATCTAATAACACTCCTGTTCATTTACAAACTTTTTATCAGAAACATGATAGCAAAGGAGAAACAGACCTTGGTCGGCGTTTAAAAAGTTTGTAGAGCATATCCACCTGATGACTGGGAATTTCAGAAAATTCCTTTTTAAAGCTGCGATCCAGAACCTGAGGGCAAAGAGATCATTGCAAAGATTGCAGTCTTTTCAGAAACATCTTATTTCTTGACAATATCCTTTAAAATACAGGGTTGTATCACTTTGATTTTTAAAATTCATGAAAACTTGGTTTATAAAGTAGACTTGTTGCAGGGTGACTACTCACTGTGCAAAGATTTCTCAAAGACTTATTTTGAATAGGAAGCACATCAGTGAATGAAAAATATTATTTCATATAAAAGTTCTTAGAAAACATTCAGAACTTAAGTTTCACAAAATAATATTTACCTGTAAAACACATAAGATACTCGAATCTATTCTTATTCTACTCCATTCCATTCCATTCCATTCCATTCCATTCCATTCCATTCCATTCCATTCCATTCTTTTCCTTTTCTTTCCTTTCTCATTCCATTCCATTCCATTCCATTCCATTCTATTCTTTTCCTTTTCTTTCCTTTCCATTCCTTTCCTTTCTTCTTTATGCTTTTCTATTCTATTATTTTCTATTCTATTATAAAACTTTTGGTCACAGTCTATTAAATTGATATCGTGATCAATTAATGGGGCCTGCAATCTGAAGTTTGAAAAGCCCAAAAGTCTAGATGATCTCTCCCACATTTGTGCAAGAGAAAGCTTAAAAAGTTTACAAAAATTTATTTTACTAAGTGATTTTCAGAAATAAACAATGGCATAAAATGACATTCACCCATAACTGAGAATTACAATAGGGGAAAACTCTATGAGGAAATTAAATTATATTCCCCAAATCCGGGCAGCAGCAACTCTATTGTACTGGCGAGTGGGTAAGACAATGGCTCTCACTTTGTCTTCTGCCAGTAAGTTGTCATAATGTTCCTTGTACACATCGAGGTCTTCTCTAGATTTCCGGATGGCCTCTGAAGTCTGGTTCTATAACGATATTAGGAATAGCCAGTTGGGACTGGAGCTTTTCAGGATAAAAAAAAAAATACTGGGATACTAAAAAAGAACAAAGAATGTCCTAGTACAAAATAAATGTTTCAGTGAACTATCCTTTGCAGATAACATTTATAGAAGAAAGTAAGCCAATTGGAGACTTTGAAAGAACAAACATCCAATGACCTCTTTCTGAGTATAGCCAGCCCTGTATCTGAGTGTATAAGTGACTATGGGGCATGCTACATTCTTGGCAAGGCAGTATGGATGATGAAATCACACAGGCGTCGGAGTCGCTTGGACCTGGATTCTGAGAGACTGAATATATAAACAGGATTTAGACAACTTTCGGCTTTCCTAATTTTTGCCACAATTTCCAACTTAAGACAAACCAGAGAAAGCCAAATATACTCCCTAAACCAATCACATAGGTTGCCTGGTTTCTAATTAACTTGCCCCCAGCTTCCCATCAGTGTGTACCTGAAGCTCTCTCTTTTATTTTAAAGCTTTCCCTTCCCTCTGGCTGCCTTCAAGTGTCTGCCAAACACAAATATGGTGGCTGAGTCTCTTACAATACCAAGCTCTGAATAAATAGTCCACCTATTCTCATTTGGATGGTCTTTATTTCCACAGCTCCATTTCCTGCTATATTACACACTAGTGGGTGACCTAGACATGTTACCAGCCTCTTTGAGACAATCTCTGCATCTGTGAAGGAACTCTAATACACTGAAGGGCTGTTATGAGTAGGGTTATATTTAGAAAGTGCTTTGTGGAAGCTGTTTAATACTCTTAGCGAAAAGTAAGTACGCATATCATATATGATACTTTAAATCATTCATTCGTAAGTGTCTCTTATTAATGTTACCAATAAAAATAGAAATATTTTGAAAATTACTGTGACAAGTATTTATCTTTCATTGTCTCTTTAATGAAGCATATTTGTTCATGGTCTTATTTATTAGATAGTTTTTAAGAATATGATAACTTTTTATTCTATAAACTAACCCAATGCATACATGATTAGTAAAACTTAGGGTTACGAAAGATCCAGAGAGAACAATATTCCCTACTGAAGAGTCTGCAAATATCTTAAAAGGCTGTATGTCTCGTCCAAGGTCCCACAGCCAGGCAGAGATTAAAAGCAAGTCCTTTCAACCATGAAGCTATATGGCCTCATTTTATAAACCATATGTCATATGAAAGGTATATGATTCTTTTGACTAAATGATTCCAAATGCATAATCACATAACTTTATTAAAAGATTGAGATGGATGCTTTTACTGAACTCTGGGAGCAAAGTTCCAGACAGGGAGCTACGGAACACACACAGGTGAGTTGGAAAGTGGAAGGAAGGAAGGGTCAAGGCATCTGAGCTCTTAACAAGGAGCATGTCTATCCAAAAATTCTTGTACTTAGATATCGGATACTATATTTACCTTCTCATCCTGCTTCCTTGCAACGTAGTTGTTTAGGAATGCTTCTCTGGAGTTTATTTCTTCATCCAACAGTAAAGAAAAAACAAGGTTATTTATTTTCAATTCTTCCTGTAGAAATATTTAAAAGGAGGGGGGAATAAATGATCAATAATCCTACCAAAGAAAGGATTTTCTATTGAGAGTCACAGACTTGGCACTCATCAAGCAAGTTTATGACATACAAGTAATAAATTCTTTTTTTAAGAAAACAGGGATATAAACTGTTACAATAACTGCTCAGTTATTTTACCTTTTTCATCTTTTCAGTATAAAACAGATACAGAAAAATACATAAAACAAATGTATAGTTTAACGAGTTATTACAAAGGCAAACACCGTTTTCGTCACCACCCAGTTCAAGAAACAACTTTGCCACTGCTGGAAGTCCCTTTCCATGTGTCCTCATTGTAATCTCAGTCCCAATAATAACCATTGTTCTGATTTATAGTAATCACTTTCTTGTGTTTCTTTATAGTTTTATTACCTAAATATATATTTCTAGGCACTATAGTATAACTTCTCCATTAAAAAAATGATCACATTCTTAAGTCTCTTATACTCCACAGATTCCCTTCCATTCCTTTCTTTTCCTTACATTTATTTGTAGTTATTTACAGTTTCACCTAATCTGGGTTTTATGAACTGCAGACTTATGATGAGTTTATTAGGGTCCTTCATCCTATGTATTTCGTGAAAATTGGCACCTGGATCAGAGATTTGATCAGACCCAGGTTTGGTCCCTTTGGCAAGACCGTAGGTGATATTGTTCTTTGATCGGGACACATAAAATATTGGGTTGTCTGCCTTTTGAGAGTTGCAAAGTGGTAATATTCTATTTCTCTATTTCTTTTTCATTTATTAATTGAAATTCTTTTTGTAAGAGGTGCTTCTTATTTGCTTTTTGGTTACCTAGTGGTATAGTTTATATAAGAAGGCAGAAAAAATACTTGATGCTTTCTCTTTATCAGTTTTTAGATAATGCATTGGTTGTTATCCTCTCAAAGTGAACAATTGGCATTTTTTCTTTTTAAAATATCACAAATTCATAAGTTAAAAAAATTGATGGGTTTTAGTTAATTGTAATTATTATCATTGTTGAATCTTAACTTGTCCCATATAGGGGAGCTTTTAAAATTGGCTCCTGAGTCCTTTTGACATCATCTAGTAGTCTTCAATAGCTTCTTCATTATCTTATTTGAAAGGTGTTCTAAGCATATCTCTTAAAAATAACAGCTTTGTTAAGATGTAGCTCACAATGCATATAATTCACTTATTTAAGTTGTATAAATCAATGGTTTTAGTATATACACAGAGTTGTACAACCATCGCCACAATCAATTTCAGAATATTTCATCGCTCTGAAAAATAAATCCTTTAGCAGTCATTTCATATTTCTTCCCACACCTCCCAGGGGCTCCCTGCCTCTGCCCCAAGGCAATCACTCATTAACTTTCTGTCTCTATGAATTTGCCTATTTTGGACATTTTATATAAATGGAATCATTCGATATGTGGCCTTGGGTGTCAGGCTTCTTTAGCTTAGCATGTTTTCAAGGTTCATCCCTGTTGTAGCATCTGTTACTACTTTTATTGCCAAATAATATTCTATTATATGGATAAAGCATATTTTACTTATCTATTCATAGTTGTTGGACATTTGGATTGTTTCTATCTTTTGGCCGTTTTATGACTCATGCTGGGGCATTCATTCCCAATCTCCTCTCACCTGCATATATTCTCTTCCTGCTGGGCCAGTCATTGTGTTCTATGGGAGAAGTGGCCCCTCTCCCCTGGCTGCAGGTCTGCCGGGTCCTGTTGCCTCGTTGGCTTCCCGTTGTTTCTAGTCTCCATGTGTTTCGCCACTCTCTGCTGTTTCCCTTAACCCTGGCCATTCCTCGGTAAAGAGTTCCTGCGTTCAATTCTCTTAAATGTAACCCTTTGGGTGTACCTCTTCTTGGGACCCTGAGGTTACAGACGTCCTCCTGGAGGTTCCCTTAACTACTCTCATCTTTTTTCGTTGGCCCCTTGCTTAGGTGAGACATATCTTCGAATAGCTCCCTGAGAATGGGTGTATATAAATTTTCGAGACCTTGCATTTCTCAAAATGTTATTATTCTTCTCTTATACTCAGTTAATGGTTTGCCCAGGTATAGAATCTAATGTTAGGAATAATTTTCTCTCAAAATTTAAAGGCTTCACTCCCTTGGTCTTCTTGCTTCTAGTCACACTTCATTTCTATTCTTACTGCTGATTTTTTTCATCTGATCTTTTGGGCATGTGGACTATTTATTCATTTAACGTACAGTATGAGCCTAGCCCTTTTCAAATAGCTGGAGATTCAGGGATAAACAAGACAGACTTAGTCCCTACCCTCATGGAGCTTATAGTCTTGAGGGTATTAAAAATAACCTCACGAAAAGTAAAATCCAGTTGCAATAAGTAATAGAAAGTAAAAGAACATAGTATATAAAAAGCAAATCTACCCTAGTCTTAGGAACTAGCTTTTAAGCTGGTACCTGACAGACAGATAGATAGATACAGGCTAGGGTGCAGAGAAGTTGGCGGAGAGTATTACTGGCAGAGTTGGGAGGAAGGACGACACTGGTGTGTTCAAGGCAGCAGAGGAAGGAGTGCGGCAAGTGAGTGAGAGGGCGGCACAGATGAGGCGGGAGCGGGAGCCAGGGCCACAGCCTGCAGGACCCTGGTGCCAGGAAGGGTGTTGGTCTTTAACCCCATAACACTGAGAGGCCCTGGAGGCTCCTCAAAAGAAAAAGTCATGTAAGTAAAACTTTTATTTACCTGGTTCACAACCATCTCTGCCTTCACTCTCCTTTTAAAAAGCCTTTTCAAATGTTCGTCAAAATTCTGTGTGCTCTCTTGGATTGAGTTTTGAAGTTTCTTCAATTCTGCTTCTAATGACTGAAAGGAAGACAATAGCAAAGTTAATGTTTAGGAGCATCAAATGCCCCTAGAAAGTGGTGTTTACATTTGCCACGAGGTGGGGCAGGTGGCCAGCAAGTCCTTTGAGGTGTTCTGAGATCTCTGCCCCCTAAGGACTGGAGATGTTCCCACCCTGATTTGTTTACTATATTGTAAGTCTGAGATTTTTGCTTAAAAAAGATTACACTGGAAAAAAATGTTAAAAATCACTGGTCATGGCTAATGATGCAGGCAGCAGTAGGCTTAGTAAAACAAATTACAGTAAATCTTTCTAAAAAATTCTGACTCTATATAGGACAGAAATTTCCAGGTCCACTATCTGGCCTGGAAAAAAAACTTGATATTTTAAAAAGCTATGAATGCATCTTCATGGATTTTTTTTTTTTTATCTTAAGAAACTAAGAAGTGAATATATATGTACTCTTTCTCATTTTCTATATGTTTTGTCCCTCCAAACGGTTCTACATCAGGGAGGAAGTCCCACCTTCTTTTTAAAAAATTCCACCAGGACTTAGAGCTAAGCACACAGTAGGTAAGTGAAAAGCTATAAATTTATATCTTTTAAGGAGAACAATAATTTTTTTGTTAACTTTTAAGTTTTGACACAAGTTCAAATTTACAGAAAAGTTGCAGGAACAGTACAAAGAATTCTCATATACTTTTAACCAATTTAATCAGTTGTTAATATTATGCCCAATTTGCTTTATCATTTGTTCAATATTTATGCCCCTCCCCTCCTCTCTGTTCCTTTATTATTATTATTATTTTTAAATTGGGAAGAGAGAAATTGGAGACAGTGAACATAAATTGTTTTTGAAGTTTTTTTGAGAAGATATTGAGTAGTGGACTGAGAAGAAAGTGGGATCATGGGAGTTTTTTTTCTGTTTTTCTTTTGAAATAAATTCAGACTAACATCGAAGTCACAAGAACAGTAGGACAAACTCCAGAATCTCCTTCAAGGGAGTCTTTTTCTTTTCTTTTTGTACAAGATGAGAGACGTATACAATGTATAAGATTATAACAATGTGTCTATGCTGGTGGGAAAAATCCAATACAGAGGGAAGCACCAGTGATGTCAGAAATAGGAGCAAACTGCTGGAGGAACAATTTTGAATGTATAAGATGAGATGGATCTAGTGCACAAGTGGAGGACCGGCCTTGGGTAGATGCAAGGCCATGTCATCCGTAAGAAACAGGCAGGGAGAGTCTATGGATTTAGCGCAGGTTGGTGGGACGTTGTAGTAGAAGAGTAAGGAAAATCTCTTCTAGTTGCTTCTCTTTGCCCAGTGAAACAGAAAATAAAATGAGAGAGAGTTGAGAGGGTCAGGTGTTGGAAGTTCAAGGATCGAAAACATGTGAAGTGGTCCTCTAGGACAGGGGTCCCCAACCCCTGGGCCATAGACTGGTCCTGGTCAGTGGCCTATTAATAACTGGGCCACACAGCAGAAGGTGAGCGGCAGGTGAGCTAAGCTTCATCTGTATTTGCAGCCGCTCTCCAGCACTAGCTTCACCACCTTAGCTCCACCTCAGATCAGCAGGCGTTAGATTCTCATAGGAGCACTGGTTCCTGGTGCCAAAAAGGTTGGGGACCGCTGCTCTAGGACCTTGCTTCTTAAAGTGTAGTCAGCTCACCAGAAGCAGCTGCACTATCTGGTTGCTTGTTAGAAAGCTTGGGATGCTTCCATTTTCTCAGAATATCTGAATCTGAATCTGAATCTGAATTTTTAACAAGGTCCCCCAGATAATGTGGACTAAGCTAGTGGGGAAATGGAATGAAAGCACCATATTTTTCTTTATCCACTGTGGGTGTGGGTGCAGAGAAGGCCTAGTACTGGGTTTAATCAAGGCTGCTGGGTTTTATCAGGTGAGTATGACCAAGGTGCAGAGAAGTAGGGGTGTAGGCAGTGCACTGTCTTATAAGGCAAGACCATGGAGTAAATGCTACCACCTTATCTGTATTCTCGAACTCCTTGAAATCTTTACTGCATTCAGATCTATTCAGTTTGGCTTTCAGGTAAGTACTATGTAAGGATAAAATGCAAGGGCCCTATCAGGGGACCGCAGTGAATAAAAATAGGGACAGGTTAACAATAGGTTCCCAGGAGTTGTTCATGAGATACAGCCACAATTAAGCTGGCAAAATGTCCTGCCTCAGATGATGGTGTAATTTTACTTTCTTCACAGAAGAAGAAATATTATGTATTTGGTTGTATACCAAAAACTTTTATACCTCCATTATAATTGTGAGCAATTTTGATGTGGGAATGTTTCTTTGTGATGGAAGAAGATAAAAGTAGAATAGCAAAATGTCAAATTAGAACTGGAAAGTACGTGCTGCACTGATTGTATCATTCTCTCATGTTCTTTCCTTAAATCTGAGAACAAATCAAGCAAGATTTGTTCTGAACTCCAGTAGGTGTAGACAATATAGAGCAGTGCCTTGAACATACTATAACAGGTATTCATCAAACATTTGAAGAATGAATGGAAGATAAAATGAATTGCAACATGTGGGAAATGTTGAAATCAATAAGAACTTAAAAAAAAAACATTGAAAAATGTTCTTTTTGTTTTAAATTGTTCTAATTCTTTAAATTTATATCCACCTACTTTCCCAAATTATCTTGAGTATTTTTAAGCTGAAATACTATCCTTAAGCTACTAAAGACACTGAGAAAATCAAGAACAATTAATTTGAAAATATACTGAAACAAAACTCTGGATATGGTAGAGTATATTAATTCTTTGCTTGCTCTTCTGACCTTTCTATACTTATCTTTTTCTTCATTTAACTCCTTGACTTTTTTCTCATAATCTTTGAATTGCTTTTTTTCCTCTTCAGACCATAGAGCATCAGGTTTTGCCATGAAAGCAGGTTGAGAAATCACCTGAAGATGTAAAGAAAAGCATATATTATATCTCAAACATAAATGTAACTGTACAACAAAAGCTCAGTTATCATCATAGTTTAAAAAAAAAAAGAGCCCTTTAACAGGGTACAGTTCTTCACATTGGCAAGACAATGAACTGACACTTTGACCAAAAGTTATGAAAAAATGTTACAAATGTTTTTCTATGACTTAAGTGAGGGTGAGCAGTTTGGAATGTACCCAGACTCTTATGGGACAGGTTTGAAAGTGCGTGTTGATATGTTGATACCTAGAACTATGCCTGAAGCTCCAAGGATACCATATATGTCAGGTATCAAAGAGAATGTTTCTTGGTGTATCTGGAGAATTACAGGTGCAGTGTTATCCCTGCTTTCTGTAGAGACAAAAACCAATGTGGTTGTTTGGTTTTGCCTGTTTGTTTGCTTTTTTGTCAGATTAGAAGGCAGATTCAGATTTCTTATTTGCCTGATGTGATATGTATATAAGGTATTGAGAGGTTGTCTATTTATTGCTGTAGAATTTTTAAAACTCAGGTTCATATAGCAAAAATGGTCAAATTTAAGTAACATCCACCACCCCATTCCACCTTCCACAAGGATGTCCAGAAATCTCACCATTCTCAAAATGTCTTCCTTCTTGACTTCCAGAACTCCTCCCATCATGTCCATCAGGGCTCGGTGTCTGGCATCAGTGCTCTGGGAAGGAGCCAGGGGCAGGGAGGGAAGCTGAGACGGAGATCTGACACTCTGGTGGCACGAGGGGCAGCCTCCCA